GGCAGCCAAGAAGAGTGGACTGGAATGCACTTGCATGAACAATGACCTCTTCACTGTACTAGCCGGCAGGGCAGTAGACAGCGTTGAGCATGTACACTGTGTGCCCATCACATTCAAAATGACTGAGCGAATAGAGCAACAAATCTGCATTACGTTTTGCATTAAGCTTGAATATTCCTCCACAAAGGCTATTCAGATGCTTCAGAAGTCCACAGCTATGGACCACTGGTGATTGGCAGCTTCATCACAACAACACACTGGCTCATGCATTATGTCTCGTGCAAAGATTTTTAGCAAAACATCAAATCACCAGGTGACTCAGCCTTGCTATAGCCCAGCTTTGGCGCCTTGTGCCTTCTGGCTTTTCCCGAAACTAAAATCACCTTTGAAAGGGAAGAAATTTCAGACCATCTATGAGATTAAGGAAAATACAATGGGACAGCTGACGGCAATTGGGAGAACTGTGTGAGGTCCTAAGGAGCCTACTCTGAAGGAGACAAAGGTGTCATTGTCCTGTGTATAATGTTTCTTGTATCTTCTTCAATAAATGTGTACTTTCCATAGTACATGGCTGGATACTTTCTGGACAATCCTTATATATTCATTTATATATATAAAATATCCTAATTGTACATATATACAATCATATATGTAAATAAAAATATACCATATATACACTCATATACATATATTCACACATATATGTCATATATGTACGTATATACAAGAAAACCTGACCATTCAGTTTAGCTTATCACAATGAAACTTTCTTTCATATTCTTCCCAGTTTATGATAATACATTTTAACTTGAAAACAGTAGAGTCTCTCTTCCTTAAACAAAAAGATACTTGAGAGCATAAACTTTGCCTCTTTATTTAGCATTTTTCCTAAAAGAGTAGCACAATGCCATACACACAAATAGAATTTCAATATATTTTGCTGTTGAATTAATAGATGGTTAAATGATTGTCCATCCCCCTTAAAAGGGAAGGATGCTGCTTTGGGAGTTATAATATTTTATGCAAATTCTCAAAAAGGCCTTTACAACTAATGAAGATAAAGGAAGGAAGTAAAAAATAAGGAAATAAAATTTAGCAATAACTTTAGGCTTCAGAGACTTAAGAACATTATTCCATTAGATTATTTTCAGTAGTAAAGATTTTTCCTCATTACCTTTGAATTACAAAAATAGATATATAATAAGTTCTTTCCCCTAAAATCAGTTTTGAGAGTAAAAGACAATAAAAGCTTTACCTTAAGTTGATGTTTAGAATAAAGACAATTCACACATGTATAGATCTGAGTTGAGCAAGTTAAGCAGAGAAAGTAAATAGGCCTTTGACACAGCAATCCAGCAGGGAAATTCTCCTTATGAAGATTTTTTTTGTGGAATTATTTATTCCATGCTAACATGGTACTATAAACAGACCCACAAACAAATAGAAAACCCTGGTAGAAGACTATGCTAATAAATTAGTTATAAACTAGCTCCAACGGTTCTTTCAGATCCTGAATATATCCTTTATGCAAACTGATTCAAGGGTGTTTTCTAAATGTGTTTTTCCTAGAAACAAATGAGCAGGTTAATATGTTTAAGTATCTTGGTGAATATTCTTATTGTTTTCAAATGTGTGTGGAGGCTTATGCCAAATTTTCTCACAAGGCCACAAACTAATTCTTTCCTTGTGATGTTATGCTATAGAGCAAGGAATTCAAGGACAATTTACTGTTAACTCTTACACAATGGGCAGAAATATAAAAGGAAAGGCAAAACCTTGATTTAAAATTCGAATGTCTCTCAAGGGAATATTTTTAAAAAGATTTCATTTACTTTCAGAGAGAGGGTAAAAGAGGGAGAAAGAGAGGGAGAGAAACATCAATGTGTAAAAGATACAGTGATTGGCTGCCTCTTACATGCCTCCAGCTGAGGACCTGACCTGCAACCCAGGCATGCGTCCTGACTGGGAATCAAACCAGTGATCTTTTGGTTTACAGGCTGTTGCTCAAGCCACTGAGCCACACCAGCCAGGGTCACCAAGAGGATGTTTTAAAGCGTCATATTATTAAAGTCCCAAACACATTCATCATGACATACTTAAGGATGAAGTCAATGCTGTTAATACTTGACAAAGTACACTAGATAACTCTGGCTGAATGGAGAAGAAACCTATCTGAAAAAGGAATAAATAGCACCCTGAAAGCATCAGAGAAACTGATTTGGGGAAGGAGAGCAGATATGAGCACTACTGCCACTCTATAAATGATGCTTTGTGTATGTACAGGTAAATTTAATTGCTTGTTATGAGAAAACATTTTCACAAAGTAGTGGGAAATTCCACAATGATATCTTGAGAAGAATATTCTATTAACAGCTGCTACAAGCAGCAGGATTGTTGATCCAGCTTTAATGCCTTAAAGTTATACCATTGGTTGTGCAACGAAAATCAGATGAGGTTTTGATTTTGTATAGTTGAAAATTTTAGGGTTGTAAATACTTGAAAGGCCAATACTTGAGAGAAAATGCTGAGTTTAATTGAAATTCTCTGATGAAATGTTTAATTTTGAAGTTAAATTCAGAAGAAAATTTCTGATTATTCTCTGGATGAAGAAGGTTAGGGTCTCGACCTGGTTATAACTTTACCATCTTAACTATTTTTAAGAGTCTCATACTGAAGTGCACTATTGAACTGATACCCATCCCCTGAAATTTTAATCTTGAGAAAAGTAGTTCCCCATTTCCTCTCCCCACCAGCCTCTTTAATTTGTTACACACACACACACACACACACACACGAATCAAGTGTAAAACGTTGGTGACACCAACTAAAACTTAATCACCTACTCAAATATGATGTTGACCTATTGCTGGCATAATGGAGGCCTTTCTGTTTCTTGTTTTTCTCAATTCAATGCTAAAATGTTCAGTTTAGTTGTTATCTCATGAAGTTTGAAAATATTCTCTTCGAAATACTTTGTATAATTTGCTGCATCTGCAGCATATAAACTAAAGTGGTTTTGAAGTTTTCTAGTTGAATTTATTGGAGTAACATTAGTTAACAGGATCATATAGGGTATATTCAAGAGTGCATTTCTATGATACAAGTTCTGTATATCACACTGTGTGCCCAGCACCCAAAGTCAAACCATCTTCTGTCACCCATATATTAAGTCTCCTTCCATCCCCGCTTCCCTCTGGCAATCCCCACACTTCTGCCATGAGTTTTCCATGAGTTTCAATTTTATATCCCAAATATGAGTAAAATCATATGGTTCTTAGCTTTTTCTGGCTGACTTATTTCACTTAGCATAATATTCTCAATATCTATCCATGTTGTCACAAATGGCAGTATTTCATCTTATGTCTGAGTAGTATTCCATAGTATGTATGTACCACATATTTTTATCCAATCATCTATCGAAGGACTCTGGTTGTTTCCATATCTTGGCCACCATGAATAATGTAGCGATGAAAACAGGGGTGAATATACCTTTCTGAATACATGTTTTTGAGCTTTTTCTGTGGGTGCTGAAGAAAGGGATTGCTGAGTCATATGGCAATTTTATTCTTAATTTTTTGAGGACCCACCGGACTGTTTTCTATCAGCCACAGTCTTTTTGTTTATTTGTTTGTTTTAGCTCAATCCATCCCTATTCTTTCCTTTCTCTCACCACATAATCTTCATAAGTTGATGCCCAGGAGGGAGTGAAGAGTTTAATGACAATGAATATATAATTCATGGAAAGAAAATTCAGGATGTCCTCTTCTTATTTGTAAGACATAATTCACATTTGAAAATGATGGTACTTACAATGCTAGATAAATGCTATGATACTAATTGTGATTCATAGAAAATATATGTGATCCTGTGGTCAATGAATTTTTAGTTTTTCTTCTCACTTCTTTGATAAGACATTTTGTTGAACAGTTCCTAGTTCAAGTAACAAAAAAGCTTTTATAAATACAAATAACATATTTTTTCATAGTGAAAATGGTCCTAATACTCTCCGTGTCCATCCATGCTGTCACAAAAGGTAAGATTTTCTTCTTTTTTACAGCTGGGTAGCACTCCACTATGTAAAAGTACCACAACTGTTTTATCTGCTCATCTACTGATGGGCAATTGGGTTGTTTCCAAAACTTGATTATGATAAATAAAGGCTGCAGTGAACACAGGGGTTCATATATTCTTTTGAATTAGCGTTTTGGGTTTCTTTGAATGTATTCCCAAAAGTAGAATTGCTGGGTTATAACAAAGTTCCATTTTTAGTTGTTTGAGGAACTCCATACTACATTCCACAGTGCTGCACCAGTATGCATTAAGACCATTTTCAATATGAAAAAAGTATTCAGCGGGGAGCAATGAGGGCTGGGTGGAAGTGGGCAAAGGGGGGAAATTTAAGGTCATCTGTAATAGTGTAAACAATAATAATAAAGTTATACAACACTATAATAAACAAACAAAAATGGAATTGGCATGCATGTTGATTTCTCAAATGTAAAAAATAAAAATTTTAATCAAAACACCCTGACAGTATGTAACACTTTCTGCCGCATGAATTGAGGTAAACAAAAAAAGTAACATTACTACTGAAGCCATATAAAAGAGAAAAAAATACTAGAAAGTTAACCAAAAGATATTCACACTTCAAGGGCTTACCCACAAAAATTACTAAATATAATTTGTCAAATAAGTAATAATTAATATTCACTATTATCTTACACATATCTAATCAAGAGAAGAAAATCTGAACCTGTCTTAACACTATCACAGCAAATGGTAAAGGAGAGAAACAAATTGATTATTAATGATTGATTATTTGAATTATGTACTATTTTTCATAAGCACTGCAGCTATCTGTTACAGGGCATAACAGATTTTAGCAGGAAAAGGATTAAGGGTTTTATTTTCCTCAACCGAGACACAAAATGAATGAGATTTTTCAAGTTAACTAATTTCATCTGGCTCAGGTGTCAGGAATCTATATTTATCTTGTGTTAGGCATGCGTCCGAAGTGCTGAAAGTCTCAGGATATCAATCGCTTTCAGAGGTCAGAGTAATCTTAAAGACAGATGAATGGTCAAGACCCCAGGCCCCCTGTCTGAGTTCTCAGCTGCTGTGCTGTAGAAATCATGTGTTTATTTTCTGCGTCTCCTCCTCCAACAGTCTCTCTGAAGCCACTCTTAAAATCCTACATCTGGGCAAGCAAGATCCTCTAGAAACTGGTGAGCAGATTTATTTTTGTACGGTGATGTGGCTAGAAATAATTAATGGGCTATCATCTAGTAAATGATTATTATTTTAACTCTTTATAAAGATAAAGATTCTCTGGTATAATAATTGTCTTTTAACAGATTTGTAGGTTTTTAACTAATTGGATGAAGAAATAAACAAATTTCACATTTCTACTAGTCTCTAAATTCATCCTATGAAATTTCCATTTGCACATTGTCATGCCTTTAATCTAGAAGTATCAGAAAGCTTAAATTTCTATTTCAAAAGTAAAACTTTACTGAAAATTTTTATTTCTTCAGGTTCTCTAAGTTAGTTTAGCATGTGCTAATCTAGATTGATTTTACATATATTTTTAAAATTTGTTTACCTTCTTATAGGCTTTAAAAAATATTACTTTGAAAATACACTCTAAATATCTGACCAATTTGATTTTTCTCTTCCAAATTTTAAAAATACTTTTTCAATGAGACTAGAAGTCGAATGACCTTTGTTCATAAGACTATGACACTATTTTTTGCAGTGTTGTCAGGACTGACAAGTACATTTAACAAATCATTTAAAAGACCCAGTCCTCTTAACAAACTGACTCCTAGATGGAAAGAAGAAAATAATCTTTTCATACATAAACTGATTGATCACTAGCGATCACAGAAGTTGTATTGACTGCAGGAACCTGATATCTTTTTATAGGGGCAGGGGATGTTGTTGCATAGACTTTTTGTAACATGTTTCATAATATGACTGTAAAAGAGGGGGAACACTGCAAAGAATGATAGAGAAGTGACTTATGCAGAAAGGAGACTTAAGTGTGTGTGTGTGTGTGTGTATAAATTTAAGTACAAAAGTTAAATGCTGATACAGAAAAAAAAAGAAAAAAGCTGTTCTCTCTGACTCTTTAGCTATCCACAAAGCCTGGAGATGAATTGGATAGGCTTCTTTACCTCCAAAGATCACTTCCTTTTATTCTTTGGAGAATGGCTGCTTGGAGCTGTGCTGAATTTTGGGGAAATCTTTCTGGGTTGATACTCATGTGCTGACTTCTTGCTTATTCCTGTGAGAAAACTCAGCACTCAGGTGGGTTTTAGATCAGGTGAAGAGAAACAGACAACCTATCCTCAGGCATACCTGACTAAATAATAAAAGTGGGATTTGTTGGACAATATATGAGACTTCTCTAATCCTGACAAGGGCAAAGGAGATATATTTTCAAGTGATTCACAACACAAACAGTAATTACTTGGAATCAGATCCTTTTGTAAAGGATAATGCCAACTTTGCAGTGAACTGTTCTGAACGTTTGAGAAAGCAAGCAAACACCTGAGGATAATCAAACAATTTCCACCTGGGAATAAAAAATAAGTTCCTGAACTCACAAAAGTTATTTTTAGGAGAAAAAAAGAAAAAAAAAACTTTAAAGTATTAAAAATCAGTGACAAAGACCGTATAAGGCTACAGAGAGAGCTAAATAGAAAAATATGTTTTTCTTAGAGTGAAGAAACACATAATAATATATTGCTGTGGATGTGATTATAGCTCATTTTGCTTTAGGCACTAATTGCTAATTAAGATGACTGGAATTTAATGTTCTTGGTATTTATAAACTAAGCTTTACAGTTCAATTATTTGATAAAATTTCACAAAATTATGAAATGAAAAAGAAATGCTTTAAAGTGAGTGGAAGGGGGAAATGTTTTTTATTGGTCACCTGCCTATATGTTTTTTATTGCTTTTTTAGATAAAAATTGTAAAGTGTGTCACCACTTTACTACAACCTAAAAGGAATGACCTGGAATGAGGAGCAGGGAGGTACTAGAAGAGAAGGAGTGACTATATTTCCATATCAGGTTACTGGAATCCTAAAAAAAAAAAAATGCCTCATCCAAAGTGATTCTCTCAACTCACAATGAATTGTTTACCAGGAAAAGGAAATTGTCTAAAACTAGCATAAGTGCATAGAGAATATAAAAAGAAATATAGTAAATAATTAGTTTTATTGTTTTGTTTGTTGTATGTCAAACTACAGAAATTGGCTAAGCCACTGGAAACTTTTTCTTTTACAAAGAGTAATTAGTATGCCATTGCTTCTATTCCATACAATGAGCTCTCTAGCCATTTCTTTATGGAGAAGGCTAAGGTGAATCCTGCTTTGTGTCTTCTGACAAATTTAGTCTTGTGGAGAATAAATAACTCTTTAAAATAGGTGCTTAGTGGTACAATGTTAAACAGTTTAAGATGTTTTGAAATATACCCAGAGACCTTTGTCACACAAACCCTATCATCTGAAGGAGGAAATGACAGAAAATTGGCAGGCAAACGGAGGGGACATAGCAGACAGCTTGGCTACATTCACCAAGGATTCCAGAATGTGCTCAAATAGAAAAGCATTGTTTGCCCTTCAATGCTTGTGAACTTTAAAAGTGGAATAAGGACAGTGTTTTTTAAAATATTAGTTTCAACTCTAAATTAATGTTATTTTTTATCATGTAATCTTCTAAATATAAATCATATTTCTCTCATTTTAATTTTAGGAAATCAGAAAGCCTATTAATAGTCATGTCATGGTTTTGAAAATTAAGAACATAGTCTAATAGAACTTTAACTGGAGGCTCATTGTATTCTGTGCTAGAACTTCATTATTGCTCTATTTGAAATGTAACAGATGCCATAAGGTATCATTTTTGGTTTCATTCTAGGAAGTTTTAGAAATGATAAGAGTTAGTTTATTCAGTCTGGTGGTCCCGTAGCATGGACCCTAAAAAGAGTATCTGTTCACAGCACATACGAATTTTTATTAAGTAAGCAGGACCTTCATGACAAACATTCTTATTTAATCTTCTAAATATAAACCCTAACCTTAAAACAGCCAAACAAAACAAAACAAAACAAAAAAAAACCCCACTATTATTTTTATTGAATACATAATGGAGCCACTCTCATTCAGATTCACTTATTCCTTGACACATTTATTTAAAAATATTTATGAGCACTTACTTACTATGTGTTACACACTCTTCTACTATTAGAAACAAGGCTGTGTTGAATTTTTATAAGAATCCAGGAACTTTTACAGGTGGTTGTTCTAAATTTTCTTTTTACAGAATAAAACCTTTTGAAATTTAAAAATAAAATCTGTCAACTTTGTAAATGACACAGACACAGCATAGGTTGAATTTTGTAGACACATTCGCCACCACTGCATGCACACAGAACCCTTAGTGAACCACCAGTCTGCCGGAGGCCGTAGACCAAGCGAGTGATGGTTACAGGGTTGCTTCCCCCGCCCACTCTTAGCTCCTTGCCATTATGTTTCTCAATCCATAATTTATTCTTAAAATGCTAAGTAACATACAGCGCATGGAAACCCCTCCAGAATAAAATAACTTAAAGTAGTGTACATACGAAGGCTTAGGTTTGATAGTTTCTTCAATTAATGTTGTTGAAGTATCTTGTCTGAAATGGGGAACAAATACTAATCTAAATTTTAGCTTGGTTTCGTAAGGGAAAGACATCTGGTTTCTATGGAAATGTCTAGTTTCTATGAGTCCTATCCTTTTTTAAGAGTTTTTTGGTCAAATGTTACATCAAGCAGACGTAGATGGGCAATTACAATGCAGGAGAACACAAGCTGTGATAAGGGCCCTATGCAGTGATAAGGGCACTGTGTATAGACCTTTGCTATTAAAGTTGGCACATCCCTCTGGCTGATAACTCCAGGAAGCCAGGGATTATTTGCAATTTAGTATCAGCAATGCCCAATGCCTGACACATGACAAAGACTCAGTAGGTAAATTATAGTCATTTATTCAAAAATATTACATGTAGATCTTTTCTAACCTAAAATATTCACCTTCCACTAAGGACTAAAACTAAAATTTTAAATTTTTTTGATCATTTTAACAATTAAAAAGTCTATTTCTCAAATCTATTATTCTTTGCATTCTTACTGAAATATCCAAAATGACGTATCTCTATAGCTAACCCTTGAACAATGTGAAAGTTAAGGGTACCCATCCCTGTTCAGGTGAAAATTTGCATATAATTTTCAACTGCCCCAAAACTTAAGTTGTTCCTTGGTGTCCAAGGGGGATTGGTTCCAACACTGCCACAGATGCCAAAATCCATGGATTCTCAAGTCTCCTATATAACATGATGCAGATTGATGTATACAGGTGGCCCTCTCTATCTGTAGGCTCCCAAATATATACTGGGAAAAAAAAGAAAATAGTACAAATATATATTGAAAATTATTTCCATATAAGTGGACCCACGCAATTAAAACCTGTGTTGTTCAAGGGTCAACTGTACATAGCTGCATAGTGGTGCAGCTTTTTTGTGTGAGAATCCTCAGGCAGGTTTATGGCGTGTTACCATCTTTAGCACCATCTCCCCTTTCCCAATGTGTTTGGCTCGTTTGTATTTTTGTAATATAGGGAAGATGATCTATTAAATATCAATAATGAAACTTAATAGATAAATATTCTGTGATTCAATTGACACTAAGTATTTAAACTTGCAGACACTGATAGTCTCTCAGTGAGTCAGCACAAGAAGCTCATTTATTTCACCTAATTCCACTAAAGTCTTAACCCTTTCCCCAAATCCATGTGCAAAGCTTAAATGTGCTTGCTTCTGTGTTCACTCTTTTAGTTATCTTCATTGAGTATACCACGTTTTGGATAAAGCTAGAGAAAAACTCTTAGCTTGGTCAATTCCACTCTGGGTCTAGTGGTCACCTTCAAACTATATTAACTTTACCTCCAGGTGTAGGTTGTGATTTCTCTACTTATAACTTTACAGGAAACAATAGCAAGTATTACGGTCATTCTTTGGCAGGCTAGTCACACATGCCCCCCAAACTTTCTCTGAGGGTGGGGGTGAGAGCTGACTAGCAGTAGAGGCGCTGTCATCATCTGTTGTCTTTCCCAAGCCCTTAGTCAGAATTCCTTCCTGACCTCACTGAGAGCCTCTTGAAAGTTTCTTTACCTGTAGT